AACCAACTGAGCCACCCAGGCGCCCGAGAATGTGCATTTTAAAGATATATAAGGGTTTAATTTATCTTTGTGGCTTTATAGTCTATCCTGCATCTTACCAACTTCACTAACTATCTGTATTAATTTCCTTTGATTTTCTAGGTAATTACTGCACATTTGCCAAAAGCAATAGTCTTTTCCCTTTTTCTCTACCCTACAATTGAGGGCAAGGACCTAGAAATTCTTAATAACATTTCTATTGCTAACGTAAATAAGCATTGTTATCTTGTTCTTCCTTTTAAGGGAAACAAGTCTAGTGTCTTTTCCATTAAGTATAATGAGGATTCTTAGAAGGAAGAGTCTTGACAGTGCCATCTTCCAAATTTACATGCCAAGTCCTCGCCTCTCGGGAACCAGTTCATAGATCCTGCTACCTACTCAACATCTCCACTTGGGTGTATAATAGGCATCTCAAATGTAACTATCCCAAAACAGAGCTCCGGAATCCATGTGTGACAACTGCCTCCTACCCGTACTTCCTCCAGTCTTCCCTGTCTTGGTAAATGCGCCTTATAAAAGGTTTGGGTTCCCAAGCTCAGGGTTCTTCTCCTGTAATGCAACCCCTGGCCCGTGCAGGTGTCTTGGGCCCTGTCCATTTCACCCTGTGGGACTGGGGCTCAGGTACCCAGCACAAAAATGCTGATACCCTGGTTACTGCCATTGCTAGAAGTAATAAACTGTCCTTCATCTCGAACCCAGGAGTCTCGTGTCTTCTACCAGCATCCATGAAACTGTGGCAGCCTAACTTGACATCGTGTAGCTAGGGTAAAATCTCAGAATCAGCACAATTCTGGACATTTCTGTCCCTACAGTGTCTTCCTTAGTTCCAGCCACCGTCACCTCTTTCTTGAACTCACACAACTTTCTAATCGGCCATCACACTTCCATTCTTGCTTCCCTACAATCTCTTCTCCAAACAACAGCCAGAGTGACCTCTCAAAGGCAAAACAGAGACCATGTCAGCCACCCCCCAAACTGGCCTTTGGTTAGGTCCCTCCAGATCTTGTCTTAACCCAGCTCTCTGCAAGCCTGGCTCTTTCAAAGACTGCTTTCTCAGAGAGGCCTTCCCTGACCATCCTAAGCAATAACCCATCCCATCCCATCTGTCTGTTTTACTTTGCACATAGCACTTATTACCATCTTAAATTAAATTGTACATTTACTCATTTGTGCTTTGTCTTATCTCCTGCAAGAAAGTAGAGACCTTGTCTATCTTGTCCACAAGTTCCTGGAACAATGTCTAGCATATAAGTCTCAATAAATATTTGCTGAATAAATGAATGAGAAATACTGACTCTATTTAGGGAGGATAATAACAATTACTCTGAGTGCCATTAAACTAAATATCTCCAAGAGATCTGGAGCGCTGTCCAGTGCCACCACAAATCAGCCTTTCTTGCGGGGAGACCTCTCTCAGCCAAGTAAAATGAGCCTGGAGGTGGTTCCTGGCCTGAACATTACCCTACGCCAGGGATCACCAGCAGAACAAAGCAGTTACATGAACATTCTACTCACTGACCGGACACTGTTGATGTCAGATTCGTGTGTTTCAAAGGCCTGCACACACTGGCCGGAGCGCATGTCCCACACCATGGCTTTCTTGTCACATCCCTACAAATGCAAAGTTACCCAGAGTTATGGCCACTGCAAGGCCCGTCTACAGTCAGGCATGAGTTCTCATTATGTAACAGAGCCGTTTACTTTCCATTGGTAAATGGCTGACAACATGCTTTTCTGAAACTAGCCTCACCTAAGGCTGCTTTCCTCAACCAATAAGCCCTGAGGAGGTGAGACTATGTCTTGGGGTGTAGGGGAGCAAGGGAAGGCACCCAGCTTTCCCCTTCAGCATGTCTTCTTCTTTTGCACCTTTCCAAGTGTGGGTGCAAACCCTCCAGAGCCTCCTCGCTTTCCCCCTGGGCATTTCTCTCTTTTCTGTCCTTCCCTTCCTCCCTCCTCTTCATCTCTGCCTCTCTAAGCCCGGGAGGGAAGGGCAGGCATACAGTGGGTACACGGTGAGCCCACTCCGCTTTGTCTCAGGTGTCCAGGACAGCGTGAGCGAAGGGAGAGCACCGGGTGCCGCTGGGCCATCCACACCTCTGCAGCACGCCGGCTGGGAGTCATGACCTCGCCAGCACTTAGCTGCGGGTCTCTAGCAAGTCACCGTCCTGGGCTTCCGCCTCACTACCCATAAACCCTCTCTCTGGGTTGTCAACGTGACCCAGAGTCATAAACATGAGGTTTTCACATTATGCTATCCTGGTTCTAGGAGCATTTGACACATTCCTGCAGAGCAATGCTATTATCAAGCTTGGGTAGTATAATGTGGACTCTCAATAGTCAAATAGAAGACATAATGGCTTAAAATCGGTGTTCAAGTTGCTGGTTTGAACTTCAGGGAAAAGAGTGGGGTGAATACCATAACTGATATCTCAGAACTGTGGGGGTTCAGCACTCTGATTATCTTTCATGACAATGTGGACAAAGCAATCGGGAGAGTCTTCAAATCTTTTGAGGACACTAAATCAAATGGAGTTTAGTGCTCTGAAAGAGACAATATAATCTACAATGATATCAACAATTTGAAAAGACAGTGTAGTTGAGGAGGGACAAATACAGTTATTCAAAGGCACAGAAATGAAACATACACAGACGGGGCCAAACACCCAAGAAGAAAATGGGGTTCCTGCTGATTACAGGCCACACAGCCCTCGCCTGATGCCCAGCACCAAGATGCAGGCAGCTCGGAGCAAAGGTCCCTTACGTCCTCCAGCTGCAGATGCCGTGTGATGGTGCGTCTAGCATGTCCTCTCCCACCTCTCTCCTGACTAAAGCGAGACAGGACCTGAGCCCCGTCACCCTGCTCAGTTCCCCATTCTTATTCCTGGCTGCCACAGAAATACTTGCCCCTGACATCTGCAGAACCCATTGTCAACTCTTCCACCTAATATATTCCACGTCATATCCTGGGGGAGTGGTGGTACTGGTCTGCATTGTGCCCAATTTACAGACGAGGAAATTTAGTCAAATAGCAAAGCCGGGACCCCGGCATCCTAGTCGAGAGCTCCTCTGTGCCACCGTGGCCTTGTGTGCCTGACCCTGAGCCTTCAAATGCTCTGTTCCCTGTGCCCTGGGGTGGGAGGGTGATGGCGACAGGCAGGGATGGGCCAGGAGAGTGTCTCACAAGCCCCAAGCCCTGATCACACCACGCTGCCTCACCTCAGCAGCCATCTGACCGGCCTTGGTACCCTTATGGCTCATCTCCAGTGCTCTCAGATGCTAACTCTGCCGTTTATTTTAGGAATAACATTTTCAAATGTGGCAGATATGCACCTCAGGTCACAGCATTCCCATGAGGAGAACACTCCAGACACCCCTGCAGACTGAATGTCAGCAGCAGAACAGGAGACCCTCTCAGCCCACCACGCACTACCACTGTTATGGGAGCCGGGGGTGGGACAGTGAGCTGAGGACAATTCCTTCTCGAGCAATGCCCGATCTACTCCCTGAAATGACAAGAATTGCCAACATAATCCTCCCACGGAGACGAAGGACCCCTAGGGATTTTGCTTGGGTCTTTACCCCAGACACGAAGGTGTTGCCCGTCTCCGAGGGGGCCAGGTCCAGGCAGAGCACGTCAGCCCCATGGCCGTGGAAGCTCTGTAGCAGCTGCCCACTCTCCACGTCCCACAGGGCACACGTCCCGTCACCGCTCGCTGTCAGGATCTGTCCACAGAGAAGGGCAGCAAAAGCGTTGTCGTTATGACCTCTGTTGGGGGAAAGTCACTCTGATGCTTAGAGCTGAACGGGGAGGATGAGGCTCTTGGGACAAACACACACAGACTCGTGCCTCACTATATATGGATTCAAGCACAGGAGTATTTCCCCTGTACTAAGAAAAAAAAGTTCCTTTGCGACACCCTCACCGTCCTTGCGATGTGGTTTATGTGCCTGTCCCCCTCCGGAGCAGGAAACGGAGCAGGCCTCCGTGCTGTATCTGCAGACTCTGTGCTTGCCCGGCGTCCCAGAGGAAGTGCTCCGTGAACGTTTGTGGAACAGAACTTGCGCAGCCCCCACGAGCAGGCCAGACACTTCGAGTGCTTCTCAGATCTTAACGTGCTCCCCAGCCACCGGGCTGCTTGCTAATATTGCATCCGGGGTAGGGGCCCGAGGCCCCAGCATTCTCATAAACCCTCAGCTGGTAGCAGCGCTGAGCAGTGCGCCCCGTCAGACACGTGCCCCTGTGGCTGCTTCCCCCCAGAGCGGGGCAGGGCCCTAGACGGTCCTAGGGCCCCCGAGAGGGCCACATGCAAGCCCTCACAGATTCAGCAAGCACCTGCTGGGTGCTGACGACACCCAGGTGCTCTGCTAATAGGCATTAATTAGGGTTCGCACAGAGATCGTGTCTTGGTCCTGCTCTCCCGGAGGGCCGTTGAACAGAACCGGCAGTAAGACCCAACACCAACCGAATTCCCTGCCCCTGTGTTAAACAATTCCGAGCCCAGGCACACTTTCCTGGAGCTCTGTGAGGCAATACTGAGACCAAGTGAAAACAATCTAGCGGCCTGGCAGGACACACCTGCTCCTGTGAGGTAAGACTGTGAACCAACGAAAGGACTTACCAAGACTAACAGCTTGCTCACCCAGACTCACAGCAGGACCCTTACCTTTCGGGGCCCACCAATCCAAAGCTAGTAATGTCGTAGCCAGTTTCCTGCCTTGAGAGACCCATCTTAAAATCACCCAGCTTGGCCCCCCAAGCCCTCCGAGTACCCTTCCCTGATTTTCTCATTTTGAGATGCTATGGAGAGTCTGCCGAGTTGGGGTTCTCCCTTGCCGCAGGAGGTCTAAGAAGGTTGGCACTTCTGGAGAGCAAGTTTTTCCGAGGATCTCGGCAGACAAGACAGTGATGACTCACGATAGGGTGAGAAGTGCTTAGATCCAGGCAGGCCCAAGGCACAGACAGCAAACCCATTCTGGCAACATCTGAGCTGCTCCAAGGATGCGTGAGAGCTGGCCAGGTGAAGGCCTACCTCTGCACAAAATGAGAGTGTGAGGACTTCAGCCTGTAGGCAAGACGGAGCTGTGGGAAGCTTCCAAGTGAGATGATAAGATCAAAGGCAGATTTTAGGAAACTGTGTCTAAGGTCCTTGCAGCCACCTCTCAAGCCGCTTCTGTAAACTTACAAGTACAAAGGCCACCCATACAGTGAGAGGAACGCTGCGGTGCCTGGGTGGACTTAGGGTCACAGCCCGAGACTCTGTGTGTGTGTGTGTGTGTGTGTGCATGTGCGTGCGCCCACGGCTTGGGCTCAGGCTGAGCACAGCTTCGTGGGGCTGGGGGAAAGGCAGCGGAGATGCAGGCCTCACGGCCTCTGGGACCCAGCTGACTGCACTGCAGAGCCCGGGGCAGCCTGTCCTGAGCAGCCACGGGCTGGGGGATCCACAAGGGCTAAGCCCTGGATGGCACAGCCTCCCTGCACCCCACCTTCCTGCCGCGCACAGGGCCCGGATGAGGCGATAAGACAGTGCAGGAAGTGGCTCGTGCAGTGTCACTGCCCCAGAGAAGGCCCTCGGTGGGTGGAGCTGAGGAAAGGAAATGAGCGGCAGCCTTAAGGACTGCTAGCCTCCTGTGCCCCACCGACCGCCCTGCACCGCCAAATTCCTCCTGCTGCTGGTTTTCTCTTCTCCTCTCCTTCTTTTCTGTTCTCTTCCCTTCTCTCTTACACGCTGGGCCTAGCACTCGCAAGGAATCTCCTTTTCTCTGCAGGAGAGATACACATTACAAGGAGGGGACTCTACTCCCACCCTGGCCTGGTGCCCTGCTGCCTGCCCCATCTTGGAGCGTGTTTCCTGCCAGGCAGTCTGGGGAGACCTAGACTCTGCTTGCAGCCAGGAGAAGCCGCTTTGGAGCTCAGCCCTGGAGCAAGAGCTGGGTGAGTTCCAGAGAGCTTAGGCTTCTTGGGCGTGGCCCCCAAGGCCCACCTCAAAGCTCCCTCTCAGGGGCAGCTCTCAAACGTGGGGAATCTCCAAGGCTGCAAAGATTCTGCCACTGTTTGTGGGACTCCCTGCATCCTTGGCTTCTTTCAAGTGGCCTGGTACAACCAACAAGATGATCTAGGCTGGTAAAAGTTAGCTTATGAACGCACAAGACTTGGAGTGGGTCTTCATTTGGGTACTTAGATTTTATAATATGCTGTAATTCTGTTCAATGTCTCCTGGGCCACACCCATTCCCGTCCTAACACTTGCAAAGGGCCAATAATCTCCCATCTTTTTTGGGACACCCAAACAATCTGCTTTAAACGATAACCTCAGCCTAGCTCTTTAATTTGTGAATTTTCCACACCATATTCTTCAACCAAAGAGATGAATAGTTTTTAAAAGTTACAAGTAAATTCTTAATAGTAAAAAATATTTAAAAAAATACTTTTAATAATTTTGTGATCTTCATTATAAGTAAAAATTGAATTTAAAAACCAAACACTCATCGCGATAAATGCACAAAACAGAGCCTCTAACTCACTGTCAGTCATTTCTGTTGGAAGGTAGGGAATGTGTAGGTTTAACACCAGTCTTCTGCCAGCCGGCCCGGGCCACAGCGCCCCCTACTGTACAGGTCTGTGAGAATCCTGGTGGCAAACGACAGGGGCAAACACCCCACTCCAAGTCCGAACACCCCTCTGCTCGGCAATTAAACAGTTACCCAGTCACCTGGTCTCCCTGCTGCCAGCCTCGCCTCCCCTTCTGACCCCAGTCAGCTGAAACCAGAGTGGGCCATGGAAGGCTTTAATCTGACTCAGATGCTCTCCTCCTTAAAAGAAACCCAAATCTGACCTGGCACCTGCAAATGGCTCCTTGCCCATCTGTAGCATCAGGCCAGACTCAGGGGGCCCTGTGATCCAGCCCTGCCCACCTCGCAGGCTGCCTGTCTCCCTCTGGGCTGCCCTCACACTTGCCTGGCCACACCCTCGCCCTCCAAGGCTGGCTCAGGCAGCCCTTTGCAGCAAGTTTGCAACCACCCCTCCCATTCTGAGCTCTCAGCTTCCCCCACTGTTCAGTCACAGAGGGTTTCCATGAAGGTCCTGAGAACAGAGCCTGAGTGTGAGCGAGTCCACCCCCAGAACCGGTGGTATCTGGCAATGTGGGTGGTGGGCACCTATGAAGATTTGCTAAATAGATATGAATGAATAAACTGAGAATTCTTTTATGACTTGTTAAGAAACTTAGAGTGTTGAAGTTGTATTGTTTTCACCTTGTAGTTTATTCAAAGTAGGGAATAGATTTACTATTGAAAGCTTTTTCTTTTGGCATTTGTTAAAACACAAGTGTAAAGTAGGTATAGTGAGGTGTATAAAATGCACAACTCTGAAGCTCAGCAGCTCATTAAAGTTTTACACATGTAAGCACATTGGAACCACCACTCAGACTGCCAGGTAGGAATTTCCACCCCCTCTGAAGGTTCTCTGTTCCACTCCCACGACCACCAAGTCAGTTAGAGGATGTTTAATACAGCTCTGTCATTAATTAATTGCGCCGACTTTCCCCATTTTTGATTTATTAAAAATAATAATGATAACCAATGAAAAACAACAGGAGGTTCCTCTTAGAGCCAGCTGCTAGAGCATACCTCTCCTGTTAAGACACCAGAATAGCAATACTTACATTGCGCAAAACAGACTTTAAGACAAAGACTATGACAAGAGACAAAGAAGGGCACTACATAATCACAAAGGGAAAAATCCAACAAGAAGATAGAATGATTGTAAATATCTATGCACCTAACAGAGGAGCACCTAATACATAAAGCAACTATTAACAGACACAAAGGAAGAAACTGTGTAGAAATATACAGAAATATAATAATAATATGGGACTTTAACACTCCACTTACATCAATGGATAGATCATCCAGACAGAAAATGAACAAGGAGACAGAGGCTTTGAATGATACATTGGACCAGATGAACCTAACATATATTTGGAATATTCCCCCATCCAAAAACAGTGGAATACACACTGTTTTCAAGTGCACAAAGAACATTCTCCAGAACAGATCACACGTTAGGCCACAAAACAAGTCTCAATAAATTTAAAAAGACTGAAATATCATTCATCTTTTCTAAGCACAACAGTTGAGCACAATAAATCACAAAAAAAATCTGGAAAGAACACAACTACATGGAGGCTAAGTAACAGGCTAATAAATCATGGATGGGTCAACTAAGAAATTAAAGAGACAAATGAAAATAAAAACCCAACTGTCCAAAATCATTAGGATGCAGCAAAGCTGTCTTAAGAGGGAAAATTATAGCAATATAGGTGTACCTCAAGAAGCAAGAAATATCTTGAATAAACAACCTAACCTTACACCTAAAGGAGCTAGAAGAAGAACAAAGGCCAAAGCCAGTAGAAGGAAGGAAATAATAAAGATTAGAAAAGAAATAAAGGACATAGAAACTATAAAAACAATAGAACACATTGATGAAACCAGGAGATGGTTCTTCGAAAAGATCGACGAAATTGATAAACCCTTAGCCAGACTCATCAAAAAAGAAGAGAGAGAACTCAAATTAATAATATCAGAAATGAAGGAGAAGAAGAAAAAATAAAAGCTGACACTAGAGAAACACAAAGGATTATAAAAGGACATTATGAAAAATTATATGCCAACAAATTGAATAATCTAAAAGAAATGGATAAATTCCTAGAAACACATAAACTCCCAAAACATAATCAAGTAGAAATAGAAAATTTGAACAGATGGATTACTAGCAATGAAATTAAATCAGTAATTAAAAAACAAAACAAAACAAAACAAAACTCCTGAAAAACAAAAGTCCAGGACCAGATGGCTTCACAGGTTTATTTTACCAAACATTTAAAGAAGAGCTTATACCTATTCAATCAAACTGTTCCAAAAAATAAAAGAGAAAGGAAAGCTCCCAATTATTCTACAATACCAGCATTTACCCTAATACTAAAACCAGACAAAGACACTACAAAAAAAGAGTACTAAAGTCCAATATCTCTGATGAACATAGATTCAAAAATCCTCAACAAAAATCTAAGCAAACTGAATCCAACAATACATTAAAAAATCATGACCAAATAGGATTTATTCCAGAGATGCACGGTGGTTCAATATTCACAAACCAATCAACATGATACATCACATTAACAAGAGAAAGGATAAAAACTGTATGATCATCTCAGTAGATGCAGAAAAAGCATTTGACAAGATTCAACATCTACTCATGATAAAAACTCTCAGTGAAGTAGGTTTAGAGAGAACATACCTCAACATAATAAAGGCCATCAATGAAAACCCACAGCTAACATCATACTCCATGAAAACCCACAGCTAACATCAAACTGAGAGCTTTCCCACTAAGATCAGGAACAAGACAAAGATGTCTACTCCCACCACCTTTACTCAACATAATACTGGAAGTCCTAGCCACAGCAATCAGACAAGAAAAAGAAAGAAAAAGCATCCAAATTGGTACGGAAGAAGTTAAATTGTTACTATTTACAGATGACATGAGAGTATATAGAAAACCCTAAAGATTCCAGCAAAGAAACTACGAGAACTGATAAAATGAATTCTGTAAAGTTGGATACAAAATTAATACACACAAATATGTTGTATTTCTATACACTAATAATGAAGCAGCATAAAGAGAACTTAAGAAAATAATCCCATTTAAAATTGTACCAAAAAGAACAAAATACCTAGGAATAAACTTAACCAAGGAGGTGAAAGACCTGTACTCTGAAAACTATAAAACATCAGTGAAAGAAACTGAAGACAACACAAATGGGAAGATATTCCATGCTCTAGAACCAATATTGTTAAAATGTCCATATTACCCAAAGCACTCTACAGATTTAATACAAACCCTATTAAAATACCAACAACATTTTTCACAGAACTAGAACAATCCTAAAACTTGTATGGAACCACAAAAGACCCCAAATAGCCAAAGCAATCTTCAGAAAGAAGAACAAAGATGAAGGTATCATAATCCCTGACTTCAAGATATACTACAAAGCTGTAGTAATCAAAGCATTATGGTACTAGTACAAAAAAAGACACATAAATGGAACAGAATAGAGGGCTCAGAAATAAATCCAAGCTTTTATGGTCAATTAATAGATAGGAAAGGAGGCAAGAATATCTAATGGAAAGAAGACAGTGTCTTCAGCAAATGGTGTTGGAAAAACTGGACAGCTACATGGAAAAGAATGAAACTGGACCGCTTTCTTAGACCATACACAAAAAGTAAACTCAAAATGGATTAAAGACCTAAACATAAGAACTGAAACCATAAAATTCCTAGAAGAAAACATAGGCAGTCATTTCTCTGACACTGGCCATATAAACATTTTTCTAAATATGTCTTTTCTAAGGGAAACAAAACCAAAATTAAACTATTGGGATTATACCAAAATAAAAGACTTTTGCACATTGAAGGAAACGATCAACAAAACAGAAAGATAACCTACTGAATGGGAGAAGATATTTGCAAATGACATATCTGATAAGGGGTTAATATCCAAAATACAGAAAGAACTTACACAACTCAACACCAAAAAACCCAAATAATCCAAGTTAAAAACGGTAGAGGACTTGAATAGACATTTCTCCAAAGAAGACATATAGGTGGCCAAAAGACACATGAAAAGATGCTCAACCTTACTCATCGTCAGGCAAATGCAAATGAAAACTACAATAGATATCACTTCACACCTGTGAGAATGGCTAGTATCAAAACCACAAGAAATAACAAGTGCTGGCCAGGATGTGGAGAAAAAGGACCCTCTTCTACCCTTGGTGGGAATGCAAATTGGTAAGGCTGCAAATTGGTGCAGCCACAGTAGAAAAGAGTGTGGAGGTTCCTCAAAAAGTTAAAAATAGAACCACCCTATGATCCAGTAATTCCACTGCTAGGTTATTTTACCCCACTAATTAAGAAAGATGTATGCACCCCAATGTTTATTGCAACATTATTTATCATAGCCAAATTATGGAAGCAACCCAGGTGTCCATCCATAGATGAATGGATAAAGAAGATGTGGTCTACAGATACAGATATAGATATAGATAGATAAATACACACACACATTGGAATATTATTCAGCCATAAAAAAGAAAGAGATCTTGCCATTTGCAAAAACATGCATGAAGCTAGAGATTATAAAGCTAAGTGAAATAAGTCAGAGAAAGACAAATACCATACGATTTCACTCACATGAGGAATTTAAGAAACAAAACAAATGGGGAAAAAAAAGAGACAAGCCAAAAAAGAGACTCTTAATACAGAGAACAAATTGGTGGTTGCCAGAGAGGAGGGATGCGTGAAATAAAGGGGATTAAGAGCACATTTATCATGATGAGCAGTGAGAAATGCATAGAATTATTTAATCATTATATTGTGCATCTGAAACTAACACAACGCTATATGTTAACTATACTTGCATAAGATGATAATAATAATAATAGAGGGGACACTGGAAAGCTTCCTCTCCTTGCCACCCCTCCTTGGTCCTCTGCCACTTCCCGTGCTCCCCGGCAGGCTGACCCACCACACGGCCGCTTCCTCACCTGCATGTCTGAGTTGGTGAAGCTGCAGGCCGACAGGTAGTTGGTGTGCATAGCGACAGACTTCTTTTTGGCAGCCATGTTTTCATTTTTGTCAAACGTCAGTGGATACACAGAACACTTATTATCCAAACCACTAGCATGGAAAGAAAGAAGTGACAGATGCTAATATAAGGCAACAGAATACACCTATACATTCTCCTTCACGCAAACTTTTCAAAATGTTTTCCTTTGGCAGCATGATGTATTGTAAACTTTCCCCCCAACTTTGAAGATTTTCAAATGTACCGTAAAACTGAAAGAAAAACAGTACAATGAGCACCCAGATCCCTTCACCTACATTCACTAACTTAGCCTTTTGTCGTATTTGTGGGAGCAAATTCTGAACCCATTTGAAGGTAAATGCAGACATGACATGTTACATCTACATACTTCAATTTGCGAATTTTACATCTTCTAAAAAAAATAGAACATTCTCCTAAGTAGCCACTAGATCATTATCACATCTGAGAAAACTAACACAAATTCCATAACATGGTGTAATCAGCCATCCGTATTCAATTTTTCCCAGTTGTCCCCAGGATCCAGGGCCCAATCAAGGTTCACACATGGCATTCAGTTTTTATAGCTTTTTAAGACCATTTAATTTAGAACAGACCCTCCACCTGTTTTTGTTGTTCATGATAAGAGATCTTAGGCCAACGGTCTTGTGGAATGTCACATACTCTGCATTTGTCACACTGTTTCTTAATGGTCATATTCAAGTATAACATTTTTGATAATAGTAGCATACAGGTGATACTGTGTACTTCTTTCTCTTTCTTGCTGCTTCACTCCAGGAGATTTGTGAGGACTACTGTCTCAAGATTGGTGGCGCCGACTTTGATCACTTGGCCAAAGTGGGGAGCACTAGATCACTGCATGGGAAATATGACTTGCTTGTAATTAGTAATTAGGGTTGGACACTTCGAGACATGTGAATATCCTGCTTCACAACAGCCTTTCATGCATGGCTTTAGCATGATTACCATTGTTTGAATCAAATATTATTTTAGGAGTACAAAATGGTGACCTTCTGATTCGATCATTCCTTCTGCGTTTGTTAGCTGATATTTTTCTGTAGAGAAAAACTTCCCCCTTCCCTCATTATCCCTGTACACCCACGGGTTTTTTTTTTCTCTTCAAGTCTGTTATGAGCCATTACTACCACCACCCCATGTGATGCTCACATTTGGACAGTGGAAGGCCCCTGCAAGCAGCTCGTTTCTGTTGGATATGACCCCATTGATCCTTGAATGTTTCCTTGCTTTCTGGAACGAGAAAATATCCTAGGCTCACTTTATCCTTTTCCTGCCCCAGACCTACGATCAGCCTTACTGCGAGGAGCCCTGCTTCT